AAATTTTAAAATCCCACATTTAATTTTCTTAACTACATTTTTTCCATTTCATACTTACTTGGAAAAAGAAAAAAAATAGAGAAAAATACCACATCATGAAAATATAATGAAAGTAGCTGTCATCTGTCACAGTCAATGATTAAGTAACTGATTTACATTGAACCATATAAAGTTAGTAGCCACTACCTGTTAGGCTTCCTAAACTCTGAATTCCCAGTCACGGGTGATGTGTACCTAGCCAACTCACTGGTGCCAATCCTGAATCTTGCTAAATCCACTTTGCACAAGTATCTTGACTTACAAGGCACTAAAGCATCACTTAGCTTTTAAAATCTGCCTGTGACATACTAAATGATTCATCAGTGGTCTGAGAATTAACACAATTTGAAAGTGAGACTTTTAATACCTGTCAGGTAAACTATATTTTTGCTATTTAAATAAAGACATTTTAGCTAGTTGACTTTAAGATAAAGTTGATTCCTCATCTCGGAATAACTAGAATCAGGGGCTAATACTTACGGTAGAATCCTATGAATTTTACCAAGTTAGATGGCTAAAACAAAAAATACTGTTGAATTTCCTATTTGTTCATCTAAATGTGTGGAGCTCACATCTGAAGTGTGTATTGGTGAGGGGGCCAAATCTTTTTAAAAATGCCGCCATTGTAAATGCATCCTACGTCACAAACACTAACAAAGTGTCAACTGTTAAGACTATCAGCTCGTCTGCTATTGAAAGTAAATCATTGTTTATGATGAATTACTCAATAAGTGCCTCTATTTTGCTTTCTATGGAGAAAGCTTTAAAATGTTTCATTCCAAAGATACTTAACAATGATGTGTAAATAATTTAAAAACGAGAGACTTCATCATCAGTGGTCCTCTTACGCTAATACTCATTTAAACAGGGCTCTAAGAAAAGTGATTGCTTAAGCATGACAGAATAAAATTTTTAAAGTGGTGATTTTTGGTAATTACCAATTTATATCTAAGAAAAAAAGTGTTACAGTTACGTGACTCAGATGATTATGCACCATAATTCCTCTTCCTGTGTATTTGTGTCAAACTGCTTTTCAGTTTCAATGATCCACCCAAATATATTCCCAAAAAGGGGAAAGTCACATTACTACCAAGAGTAGATATATGTGGGTGCACTACCTTACCTTAAAAACGTATGTATGAGGTTCATGCTCTTCTGACTTGCCTAAACGATTTACTTTTCAAAGATTAGAACTGCGTAACTGTAGGTGTTAAGAATATTCCTTCCTATACCAGCTCCTTGGATTCTACCAACAAACTATACATACGTTTAAACTATAACATACGACACCTATATGGCAAGAGGAGGAAGACTTTCAGAAAACTGCTAAATCCGTTCTCAAAATCAGGGAAGAGTTATTATGTCAGTTCAACACATGTGGAATAAATGTAAAGAATGTGAAAACAACTTCCCTAAAGTCAGGGTAAGAGATGATTATAGTTCATAGTTCAGTTCACTCAGAAATGTGTTTCCACTAATTTAGTAAAGTATTATCTAATGTATCTCATTTACTAAAAATACTTCAGATATTAAGCATTATTTCCCCCCAGTTCACAGATACCTTTGTAGATAACTAATTCAGCAACCTTCTTAATACTGTACCACCTACACAGAACAGCACTCCTTAGTGAGAAGAGCAAAGCTGTTATCACACACATGAAATCGTAATGCAATTTGAGAACACACAGTGGTCAGTGAAGCCTCACAAGTAAAGAAACACAGCATGTGTAAACATGCAGTATACATACTCATCCAGTGTAGTTTATAGTACTAACAAAAGGGTTGAAACTGTGTTCAAAGGATGTAGGGTGCTTCATCAAATATGTTGTTTTTGTGTGTTACCTCTCCAAGTATTATAATTTTTAATCAAATAGTGTCCTTTTTATCCTGAAGAGTCTTCTTCCAAGATGTTATAACAAGAACAGGAAAGCTAAGAAAGATTATAAAACCATTTGATTATTGGTCCATTTAACCATTGAGAGTTTCACCTCAATTATTAAAAGAAATAGTAATTTACCCAGTTACCCAACAAGTGTTGCCAAATTTATCTGCAATCTCAATCTGCTAGAATTTCTTCAGTAATTTTCCTCATTCCTCACATCTTAAAAACAAATAATGACTGCAGAGATTCTGATTGAGACTGAGAGGAAAATCTGTAGTGTCAAGAGTGAAGTGGTTTGAGATTTCAGAAATTGCTCCAGGCATCTCATTACTCCTTGAACTATATGATGGACATAAATTTAAAATAATGGTAAAGTTAAAAAAATAAAATAACATCTAGGGCTTAAAGCACCCTTGGCCCGTGGAAGAAAGAACTTGGTAGATACTGAATATCCTTCCATTTTTCTAAAGAATTGGTACTGTACTGTAGAGCCAAATGCTCAGGGCTGGTAGAAGAAACAGACATATAGAAGGCAGAGGGGCTATATTCTCTTACTTTTCAAGAAGAGTAATTTGCAAATCGCAGAAAGTCAATGAATCAAAATGGCAGAATGAATCCAAGGGAAGTAAGTGGGATGAGGTAAAGAAGTAAAGGCTGACTACCTTTCTACCCTTGTTCTATTTTAACCTGTGGTCAACAGAACTAATTTAGTCCCACTTGCACTGGCCATTTCTACCAGCACAAATTCATAAAAGGATCTTAAAGATCTGCTGATTTTAAAAAGAAAAGGTGAAGAGGAGATGAAGCAAGATTATAAGAGAATGTTTTTAGTTTCTTTCCTAAAATACATATAAGGAAAATATAGAAGTAAAAGAAAATTGAATTTTACAAAACAACATACTCAATTGTTAATGCAATTACAAAATACAATTTTTAAAAATTCTAGAGATTATCCTTTGATCATTTACTGTTAAATACATACTGCTTTGCCATTCATAAACAATCTCACATAATCCTCACAATAACTACATGAGGTATTAGTCACATTTTACAGAGTATGAACTGAGGCTCAGAGAGGTTAAATGGTTTGCTCAAGGTCAAAAAGTTGACAAGTGACAGAGTCTTAATTCAATCTGTGTTGCTGGCTAGTATTCTCTTCACTATGTCACAGCTATGATATCTCAGTTATGGAAATTCTATTTAGTGGATGAACCAGGAAACTGAGAATCTGGAGGGATAAAACAGGCTAACTCTCAACTAAAATCAGGAAGCAAAATGTTGTCCCAAACTTTTTAGAATTTAAAATTATCTTGCTAGCTCTTGGTGGACTCAAGATCAAGAATCCCATTGTGGTGATTCTTGTTATTACGAGGGAAAATGCTTAGTACAGCACTTTACACAGCGGATCCACAAGAAGTGTCTACGAAATTAAATTATTTGGTGTGTGAGTGGCAGCTGGGTACATGATACGGCAGCCCCACTTTTTTCATTAGAGATTCTTTGAAGACTTTTTCCACAACATTCTGTGATTTTAAATTATCCCCGTTCCTTATATCACAAATACAAGATATATAAGCCAACTTATTTCTTTATTTCTGTCATTTAAAGTATAAAGAAAACCCTTACACTTTTTTGAGCAGTGGAAATGTATGCTACAAATACTAAAAAAAGTGTATTGGGTAACAAACTGTAACACTGTTTGGTAAACATTAAGATCTAAAAGAATAATAATGCAGCCACAAGCCCTGAATATAGCCATCATTTAGGACTTTGCTTATCCTAGGCAAGATAGGGTATTACCTTGGAACTGTGCCATGGAAAAGACCACCTGTTCTTATTCTTTTAAAGTTTTAAGCATTATTTGTAGTTTATTTGAGGCCCCCTGACTAGCTGTGATCTATGGGTATTTTTAATCAGTGTGATAAATAATAATTATTTTGGGCACATATGAGTTCTTTCTTTGGGGAACTATTTTCACTATTAGCAATATTTTATTAAACATTTTAAAATAAAGGAGTGTCCACTATAAAGAATCCTCCCTCCCTCCTTGTATTTGTCACAAAGAAAATTTACTGCTAAATCACATATAAATTTTAACAAAGTATAACCCAAATACATCAATAAGGGCTTTTGTCATGTCCCAAACAAGGGTTTCCAGCTCTATTAAGTGAAGACAATTTTCCCAAAATTCAAAATTCTCAAACATCCTCAAACCTATTTAAAAGATCATTACACTGAACAAATTTTCCACTAGAACATGAAAGTGTTCATTGAAAAAAAAGCTTTCCAAGTAAACTGTATTCATATATAGCAGCACTCTATATACGTATATAATGATATACATATCTGTGTGTGTATATATATATCATTAAACATTTCTTGTGTCTATAGGAAAGCTATTAACTTTTTTAAAATCTCAGCATATAAACAGCTATTAAGACAATTCATAAATTCACACTACTCAACTGCATCTCAAAACATCAAGAGTGACGCTGCACAAAATCCTGATGGAAGTAACTGAAAACAGCAAAGAACCCAAAAATAACCACTAAAATTAAAAGTATACACACACAATTCATAACGTAAAGCAACTTGATAATGAGATAACTGCAGGACACTCTACATACAAACTAATTATTAACCATTCAATTATACTTTCATTCTAGAGTAAAAACAAGAGTTAACTCTTTGGTCCACACATTAGTACATTTAATGTATCCAAGTTATTTTCTGGTTAATTTTGGATTATGAATCATGCTCCATTTATTACTTTACCATAACTTTCTTAAATCATAAAATAACCATGTGTTAAAATAAGTATTCATTCTGTAGATCTGAAACAATTTCCACATACTATTGGTAATTCCTCTGGAAGAACATGAATGCTTTAAATTTTTGACAGAATAGCCAAAGTAAAGGAAGAAAACAATTCAGGTCTAGCAGAAAAGAAAAAATCAGATTGACTTGGAAAAGTTATGCCTAAATTTAATTTGTAAAAACATCAGGAACATAAAGAACACATGAAAACAATTTCAGGCTTGTACATAATAAAAAGAATCAATTTTAAGATTTATTCAAAGATCCATGCATAGTTGCTTATTGTTTTTTTTTAAAACAAATTTCCAAGCCACAGTGACAGTAAATCCCCCAAACTTGCAATTGCAATGCAACTGCAAAAGGTAATTTAAAAAAATTCTAGAGAATGTCAATTGATGATTTACTGTCAAATACATACTGCTTTGCCATTCATAATGGTAAACTGGTAAAAGTACTGCTTCCCCAACTTCTCATGGATAAGTTGTGGATATATTCTGCTTCTGGGTAGAGAAGAAGTGATGCAGGTAACACAGTTCTTAAATTTGAATGGGATATTAGAGAAGCCTACTTTTATGCCAAATTGGATTAAACAGCAAGGTTACCAGATTTTTAAAAATTATCCTTAACTTCATATTCTCTGCAATGGCTCCTACTTTGAGTAAGCATATGACAACTTTATCTGGTGCCAAAAAAATCTCATTGGAAGACCAGTTCAACCCCACTTCCTATACTCTTGCAATTACATATTGCCAAAACCTCTTAAAATGTTTTATATAAAGGACATTTCCACTTTAATACATGCCCTCACTGATTCTTCCAGTAAACTTAAACTTAAATCATAGTATCATAAATCAAGAACTGAACAACTGAAATAAATTACTCAAATACACGTTCAATACTGCGTTGATATGCTGAGACTAACTGCCAAACATTAAAATTACCTATTATATTCCCCAGTTTTTACTTAGCAAAATTATGATGTTACCATATATCCAAAGAACAGTTATTACTCTTCCTATATAACTTACTTGTTACTTATCTACAAATGAGGTCTTTATTTCCAGAGCCTAATTTAGGCCACTCTCTAAAAACAGTTAATACTCCAGAATGAAAGACTGTTTATGTTTTGTCAAAAATCAAGATATATGCAACATGTAATATAATCCCACTGAGATACTAGTTATAAAGATGTTTTGTCCATGAGATACGAGGCAAAAACTTTCTTTAGAAGGGTCAAAGAATGCAACATGCATTTCAGACTATTTTTCTTACAAAATTTTTAAGAAAATTTATATTTTTATGACACACAAACTACAATCGATGTGTATGACCCTTAAAGTTTCTGAATTTGTATAGAGTATTTATGCATGAGGGAAACTGTTATTTAAGTTAGTGAAAAGTATGCACCCTATAGAGCCACTCTGAATTCTTAAAACATTTGAGCTAGTCTTCCATTAAGAAGACTTATCTTACACATCAATTAAAAAATACCTAAACAAGTGAAGCCCTAAATCCCAGAAATGTGCAACATTAAAAACCAATTAATCTCTCATATTAAACAATTCGGTATTTAGCACTCATACGGGATTTAGTGTTACAGAACAAAAATCTTAGTACATTACCTGAATTCATGTCAAATATGTTCACAGCACTCAGCTACATCTACACTTGCAAATTGTCACATGATCAATGTTAACAAAAAGAAAAGAGTTTGGCACATATATCAATACCTCGAAACATCCCTGTAACTTAACACAACACTGTTAAAAACGATGATTTCAACACCAATGTTAACCTGATAGGCAGCTAAACAAGGTGCTTTTTCTCGTAACTTTACATAGTGTCTTAATGCACCTTGCCTGGGACAGAGGCACATAAGGTGCAGTGCGGTAGTGCAATCACTTGAACACCAGAGGGCAATCTTTCCACACAGCTCAAGGTCTTCCTTATGCTTTGACCTGCTCAGTCCACATTCTTGCACAACTTCATTTCCACTTTTAACAATGCCGTTTTCAGGGAATCTGTACATCTGTTTCCTTATATGAAGTAAGACATTCTCACAGAAACCTCAAAGTGTAGCGAGGATCCTTGAAAAGGAGATGATTAATGTCAATACAGTCTGTCCAACACCCCATACCAGCGCTTCCAAAGGGGCCATGTTCTTCCCAGCTACTCTGTAAATGCCCGCTACTGCTGCACCTAAGGAGAAATGAAGGGACACATTCACTCACTTTATAACACACTGCGTAGCTGCACCTTAAGAGCTCTTTTCATTTCCTCAAAACAACATTAAGTCATCATCTTTCTCATTTTATCCACTTTCTATGAAAAAGTTTCCCTGTGATTGGTGAAAGTCACAACTTAACCATAATATATTTAGTCACTTATTTGAAAATCAGACTTTTCTATTCAATCAAAAGATACCTTTATGGTATATGCTGCATACTTGACAGTAAATGTGTTCATAAAAAATTAATAATTCATTATTGCAACCTCTCATCTGGGCATTCAATTAGCTAGACCTCTGTAGCATTTTTGTAAACATAACATACTGATAATTATAAATCATAATGCAGAAAAATAATGTAATTTCCAAATTATTAATATTTTAATATTAAAGGTATCTTTTTTGAATAAAATGAATTCTTAAATGTCATGTAAACTATAACACCTGACTAATCCATCTCACAATCTACCATATAAAATAGTTCATTGCTTTTTAAATAAAGCATCCAACTCTAAGTTATTTGGAGATTAGTATCTTGACATCTAATAAGAATGGAAAATGAACTTGATATCTATTCTAGGGAGGTTCTTTAGGTAATGTACACTTCCAAGAATAGGAGAATCTCAGCATATGAGGAACCTCAGTACCCATCTGATCTTCACAGAACATCCCTAATGATGTGGTATCTAAGTGGCTAACTTTAAAAGTACATGTAGGAACCATAAAGGAGGTAACATTTACATTATAATATGATGTCTCACAAATTGAGATGGCCTGAAAACTATCTTTTTTTTTTCTGAAACGGAGTCTTACTCTGTTGCCCAGGCTGAGTGTAGTGGCGTGATCTCGGCTCACTGCAACCTCTGCCTCTCAGGTTCAAGTGATTCTCCTGCCTCAGCCTCCTGAGTGGTTGGGTTTACAGGTGTGTGCCACCATCCCCGGCTAAAGTTTATATTGTTAGTAGAGACGGGGTTTCACCATGTTGGTCAGGCTGGTCTCAAACTCTTGACCTCATGAGCCGCCTGCCTCAGCCTCTCTAAGTGCTGGGAGTACAGGCATGAGCCACTGTGCCTGGCCGGTCTGAAAACTATTTTCTTAGTAAAACTGTCTACATATCCTAAAATGGTTAAATAAAAGAACATAGGAAGATAAGTTATCTGAAGACACTGAACTGACAATTACAATTAAGATTGGAAACTAGTCATGAAAATTAGGATACAATTTTTACTTGTCAACTTAGAAAAAAAATAGCTAAAGATTAATTCTTTGTACTTTACTCAAAATCTTCCAAATAAAAGTAATTGTATTGCTCTATAAGAGATGTAAACAGGAAAAGCAAATTATTAACCTAACCCAAGAACTTTAACATATGTTTTAAAATAAAAAGAAATTAGTGTACTTACCATATAGTATGTATCTTGCTAGGACCTTTACAAATATTATCATATTTAAATATCATACCACCCCCTCAGTATTATCACCTAATTTAAAGATGAAAAAAACAGGTTCAGAGAGGTTCAGTAACTAGCCCCAGGAAATATAGCAAGTGCAAGAGCTGGGATTTCAATCCAGGTTAGTCTGGCTATAATTCCCAAAATCATTCTATCGCTTCATACTTATACTAAGTGAAAATGAGAACAAAGAATTCCGAAAATAATAAAGTAGGTGATAAGCATCTCTAAACTCCTAGTAGCATCAACATTTACTTAATCAAATAATAAAATAACTTGTATAATTGGTCACATATCCAAATTTTAGAATTGGATGACATTCTTTAAAAACATTAAGTATCCTTTACCTTTGTTATCATAAATTATGTTAAAATAAGCCTGACTAATACTCCGTTTTTCTTTGGATTCACCCTGGATTTACATGACTATCTTCAATTTTAAAAACCACAATTTGGCCTCCATCCCTCTGATACTAAGTTTTCCATCATGATCCAAGAAGGGGAAAATCGAAGCAATTACTATCCAGGCTGCCTGCAAAATGGCAAACAAATGTGTCAATTCAAACTTTCCAGGCTTACCTAAGGTGAAGAGCCTGGGTTCTGGAGCTAGACTCCTGGATTAAAATCCAAGCTCTACTACTTAGCAACTGTGTCACACTGGGCAATCACTTAGCCTCCCATGCCTTGCTTACTCAACCACAAAATGGGTGGGCATGAAGATTAAGAGACAATACTTGTCAAGTGCTTAAAATAGTAGATGATCCTAGTATGTACTCAGCAAATTCTGGCTAGTAATCATCGTAGTAGTAAATGATAAAGATAATTCCAATCGGTGATTCACCATCCAATAAACAGTAGTAGAACAACTGGTAGCCATTTCAAAAAAAATAAATTTAGGTCCCTACTTCACACCATCCCCCAAAATAAATTTCAGATGGATTAAATAACTAAATGTTAAAAACAAAAGTACAAATCTAAACTTTAAAATGTAAGAGAATTATGTTTATGATCCTAGGAAAAGGGATCTTAAGACCACAAAAAAAGAGTAAAACCCATAAAGGTTTCACATCAAGACTAGAAAAACATTTGCTATGTGTAAAACAAATTGATGATTAGTATTTAGAATATAAACACACACATATGCAGCATGCATAAGCATGCATATAGTAATCAATACAGCAATTCTGTAATCAAACAAAAACAAAACATATGTCCACCATCAGATGGAGATAAACTATGAGGTCCGTTATCATGAACCCATACAATTTCAAAAGGAAAATACAGCTCTATATGAACTAAAATAACTTAGACATATGATTTCTGTAACAAAGAAAATAAAACATAAAACAACATGTATTCTTTACTAGTACATACATATTAAAGTGTATGTGTATGCATGCATGTATGTATCAATGTATGTACGAGTGAATGTAATGCATCAACAAAAATCTGGTGGATACATGCCAAATTGAAAACAGGGATTACTTTTGAGAAGAGTACTAGTTAGAGAGTGTTGGTCAAAAGGGACTTTGCTTTATTTATAATGTTTTCAGTTTTACACAATGAATATAATCATACAGTACTCACATAATAAAATTTTTTAAATGTAACAATTTCTATACCTAACTTGCCTAAAACGTCCCTAAAATTCCAAGAAACTTTCATCTTAAACGTCAGGATATGAAAGATATTTCATTTTAAATGCCAGGTTATCTTTCAATCCTATGTTTCAAACAATATTGGTATACAATGAACAAGTTCAATAAATTCTTAATTTAAAATAGCAGATCATAAATATATTATGGAATGTAGTAGGAAATAACTATATTTTTTGTATGCAGCTATAACTTATTCATTTTCACTGCCATAAGGAATTCCAAGTATGAATATATCACAACTTATTTATCCATTCTATGGCCAACGACATTTCTTTGTTTTCAATGCTTTACAATCACAAACACTACTCCTGTGAATGTTCTTGTCCACACCCCTAGCACACACATACAGTCAAGAGTTTCTCCATGATCAATGTGTATTTCAGTTACTCCATATCCTCAGAGGCAGGCAATATCCATTTGTGTGTGTGTGTTTTTTTTTACTTTTTTTGCCAATCTAGTGGGTAAGAGATATTATCTATCTGATTAATTTGCAAATCCTTGACAATTAATGTGATTGAGTTTCTCTTCACATATTATTAGCCATTAGGGTTTCTACTTCTATGAAATGTTTAAGTCTTTAATCCATTTTTCTACTGGGTTGTCTTTTTATTACTTGAGTCATAGGGTCTTTAAAAAAATATACAGTCTAGATATTAATCATTTTACAATTATATAAAGTGATTTTTTTTTAACAAATATCTTACCCCAGTTTGTTCTTTAGTTTTCACTCTCCTTAGGGTATCTTGCTGAACAACAGCTAGTTGAAAAAGTACATTAAGATCTTTATTTTCACAGTGATTTTGAGGCTAATATATGCAGGCATGCAGAGAAGTGGGATAGGGTGCTTGAAATAAAGAACACATGTGGATCTGCCACCATGAACAGTAGCAAACATAATCAAGTAGAAATAAGGAAAGATCCCAAATGAAGTGAAGAAAGCAATACTGCTGAGATATCTGAAGGTGAGTAAAAGACACAAAACTACAAGGATGAAGGGGAATAGGAGTCATCAGCAGACAGAAAACATTGACACACAAACATTAAGTGCCTGCAGATGGGCATACCAATAAAAAGCCCTGCATATTTTCTGACAGAAAGCAAATAATAGCCTGTAGTCCTAGCTACTCAGGGGGCTGGGTTGGGAGGATCACTGGAGCTCAGAAGTTCAAAGGTGCAATGAGGTATGAGTGTGCTACTGCACTCCAGCCTGGGCAGCAGAGCCAGACCCTATCTCTAAAATGGAAAAGGAAAAAGAAAAAGAAAAAGAAAAAGAAAGCAAACATATGATAAAGGTTAAGGGTGAAGAGACACAAAAAGCTATGGGTAGAAAAACGAACAAAAAAAATAGAACAAGGTTAAGGGAAGTATTAGTTTTAATAATGTGTTCTTATCAGTTTGCACAGTAGATCAGGGTTGTCAAACTACAATCCACAAATATGGCCCACCTACCTATTTTGTACAGCATGGAGGCTAAGAATAGATTTCACATTTTTAAGTGATTTTTTAAAATCTAGAGAGTAACATTTCATGATACATGAAAATTATGAAATACAGATTTTAGTGTCCATCAATAATGCTTTATTGAAATGCAGCTGCACTCATTTCTGATACTTAATTATCTTTGCATTCCAAGAATAGCATTCCTAAGGTTCTAATGTAGTGCTCATCTTGTTTAGCAACAAGATTGCAATGACCTCTGCAAATAAACTGTGCACAGCTTTTACTCTTTCTTCTTCTGCGGTAACTTGAATCAAATATAAACTAGGTGTTCTTGAAAGTTTGGTAGAACTCTCCTGTAAACGTTTTTGGGCCTGGAGTTTTTTGGAAGAAGGATCTTTAATATTGCAATTGGAAATAAAAATTATTTTCCTACTCATATTTCTAATTCCCCTTATGCCAATTTTGACATTTTATATTTTTATAATTCTATTTTATTTTATAAAATATTTTATTTTTATAATTCTCTGTATTATTGAGATTTAGTTATTTCTTCTATTATGCTCTGTATTTTACTCTTCCGCCTTAACCCTTTTTTCTTAGTTTGCCAGCAGTCGATTCATCTTCTCTTTCCAATATACATAATAAACATAGGAAGAGATGCTCAAACTCATTAATAATCACAGAAATGCAAATTAAACCAACAACAAGAACTTACTTTATACCCTTAGACTGGCTAAAATTAAACAGCTAAAATTAGACATTATATAGAAACAATTTTCTCCCTATTCTGGTATTAACTAACAATATTAAATGAAAAATCACTCTAGTTTCAAAATAAAATACACAAAATAGCAAGATATAATGAATATGTAATTATATTCAGGCAGCATCTTATTGAATATAGATTATCTGGCAATCAATAACTGAACTGAATATACAGCTATGAGTACACTAGCATTCACAACTCATATTAAGAAAATAAATATAACCAACTATTCATCTTGGCTAGTTTTCCTAATTCACGTGTTTGCAGGTCAGATAATTAGCCAGAAAAAAATTAAATGTTTTATTGCTAATATGGACACAAATGTTTACTTGAAATTGTGTCAGACTTATATTTTTAAGGATTGAAAAATATAACATGGCAGTTTCTAAAATCACTGGCTTATTTTATACTTGACTGAACTAAAAATGGGTTATATATACACACATATCATCAGAGATAAATGGAAGAATTCCATTTCTCATGCTCTCTTTAAAGTTTTGCAATAATGCATGCCAATAAATACTTATATGTATGTGTGTGTATATGTATATATATATATATACATATACACACACACACACATACACACACACATACCACTTAAACTTCCAAACAAGCTGTTTCTTCTTCCTTCCTCCTCTGTTCATGGTTCCACAATTACATTAGTGACCATTTCAAAAACTACTGGCAGCCCCTTTCGTATCTCTTTGTATGCCAACACACTAAATAACTAATTTAGATTTTTGTCTTTTGTATAGTTCTTACATTAACTCCTTCCTTCCCGACCTACAGCCATTACTGTAGTTCAGAACCTGGCCTCAAGTTTAGATTACAGTTAATGCCTCTTAATTCCTCTTCCTTCTCCTTTATTCTCTCTCCCTACCCCCTCTTCTTTCTTTACTTTCCTCCCTCTCTTCCTCTCTCTCTCTCCTTCCATCCATCGCACCTGTATGTTTTGAGTATCAATTATGTTTTAGGTACTGTTTTATTTTGGGGGATCACACAGTAATAAAGATAGATCAGGTCCCTGCTCTTTCAGGGGTTTCTCTTGTTTCTTTACCTTAATTCTATATTCAACAAGAAAACAAAATTTCCCACTGAACTGCTTTGTCCCTTGCCAACTGCATTCAAAAATATCCATTTGTTTTCCATGGCCTGCAGAAAAAAAAGCCCAAACTTCCCAGATAGCTTTACAAGACCCTCTGGAATCTGGCTCCATTCTACTTTTCCTGCTGAATCTGCTACTACTCCTACTATGCAGACCATGTGCTTTAATTAAACCTGAGTACCTATTTCAAACCCTGTCTATGACAAAGCATATGAGGTACCATATGATAAAGTTAGAGGTTGAATGCAGAAACAACAAAAGCAACTATAAAAACAACACAGGATAACACAGGAAAAAAAAAAAGCAATTGAAGGATAAAGAAACCAGACTCCTCCCCATTTCCCACAAGCATTTTATGATCGTTTTATTAGTGCCATAGGACATACCCAGGGACATGGGGGCAGGGGTTTCCTCTCAAGACAAAGGATGCCAATCACTCTGGAAAGGGTGAAAAAGGGAATGTTGGTATTATAAAGATAAGGCTTCCTTCCTATCTCTGAGGCAAGAATCAACTAGAAAGGAAGAAGAAACTGCCCAATGAGTCCCAAAACAGACCCAGTAGTAGCAGTGAGTTGCCCCTGACATAAGGGAATAGGCCAGATGCAAAGGGCAATAGACACTTCTCTGCATTGGCAGTCGAAGAATCAATAGCAGTACAGAGAAGCAGCCAGTTTCTGGCACAACCACACTAAGCAAGCAAGCAAACGTGGCACACTCCAGTCTCAACAGAGTGCACACCTAAGCTCTGCTCAACCAGCAGCTGCAGAAATTGTTAAGAGTAGTAGGTAGTCAGGAGTGGGGCAGGAGAGGGCTCTCTCTACCCAGCAGGAATGTCAGGTGACCATCAGGTGATGGTCCGGCAGTTGTCACACTGAAATGATCACTGGCACCAGGAAGAGGCAATTTCCCAATAAATAAAAACACTTGAAATTGGTAACCAGTAGCGTCCAATAAAATCTCAGGAAATGGCCAAGTGGGCTTGAGCATGCTCATTAAGAGACAAAATGATGGAGTAGGATCTTCGGGGGCATTCCACTGGAAAAGAGAAGAAAGCCTCAGGTGAGCATGCATACAACTTCTTAAACGCACTGTGCATACTTGCCTCCCAAGTGTAAGGAGGGCACCACGCATGCTGGCGGCTCATCCTAAAGAAGAATGAGGAAAGAGGGGTGCAAGACACTGGAAGTGGGCCAGCAAGTCCCAGGACCAAGGTTAAATGGGGCAATTGACCTCAAAAGTGCCCACTTGGGTCTCTTCCAAGTGTACTTTCTTTCCTTAAAGCTTTTAAATTCCACTCCTGCTCTGCAACTTGCCTTGGTCTCTTTTTCTGTCTTACACCCCCTCAGTTGAATTCTTTCTTCTGAGGAGGTAAGAATTGAGGCTGCTGCAGACCTGTATGGATTGGCTGCTGGTAACTTGGATACCTTCTGCCAATGATATAACCATAACTAATTCTTTGAAGTCAAGGCTGGAGTTGGGGCCTAAGTACACTGTTAGGCAGAGAAGGCCAGAGGGAATGAACCTGAAAACTTGTCTGAAAACGCTCATGAGGCAGCACGGCAGGAAACTGCAAAGCACTAGAGGACACACTAGCACAGCTCATTTCTAGTAGGCCATAATAATGCACGCATAAGAAGAAAGTGCAATTTGATTTTGTAGTCAGAGAGAGATGACAGTAAGGACCTGAGGGCTATACTCTTGCTTTTTTAATGATAATTATCACTGTCATACTTTTATGCCTTTCCTTTTTCCTAGAGAGTGAGCAACTTTAAAGCAGATAACTACAATCACTGTGAATTTTCCCATTGAACTGGCCTCTTGCCAATTTTTACGAATTTTTCTATTTCCCACAAAACCTTGTAAAAGGACTGTTCACACAGCAGAATTACGACGACTATCTGTTCAATGAATAAATCAGCTCATTTTTACCTTCTATGTGGAGTGTGTAAAGTGTTGAAAAATATTCTACATAAAAGATCTCACTAATGTTACATTTATAGTAAGAATACAGCTACCAAAATGGCAAGTGCATACAAACTTACATCCTTAAACAAAACAAAATCAACTTACTGGTAATCATCGCTCCAGTTACGGAAGCCAGAAATCCAATGCTGACTGCAATGACGGAGATGACTCTTCCCTGCCTATGCCTCTGCAGCATCACAAACATCAACACTCCTGCAGCACCATGGACAAACAGAGAAGAGAAGAGAGCCCAGAGGAAGATCCAGTACCACATCTCTGAAAGGAAAAGCAAAGTGTTAACCACCTGTTGAATTACAACTTAGAAAATTAAGTTTAGCAAATAGGGAGTATCTATGGTTTGGGAGGTTAAATGACATAATACATAGAAAAATGCCTCACACAGTGCCTGACACAATGAGCACTGAATGCATTATAAGGTTTATCATCATCGCTGATGCCTGATAGGGAAATAATTCCTTCCATGGCTTCAAAAGGTTAACACTATACTCTAATTTCTTCTAAATGTACCTATTATGTAGCTATCATCCATCAATTTTATATTAAACCCCTGATATATTTGTAAACTTCTTAGAATAAATTATAAAAGTTAATTACTATCTGAGATAGAATCTTTTATTTTCTGCCCTAAATAGCAGTGTTAAGATTTTAAAAAAACTACCTCCTAATTCAGATCATTCCAGAAACCAGTGAATGATTTTTACCTTTTATGACTTTTTAAAATTTCTCCTGTGACCCTGAACTTGTACTAAAAAAATCAGTCAGATTAAAAAAAAAATTGCCTCTAGTCATCTTAGTGTTCCTCATCCAGAACTTTTTAAGTTCTAGTATTATCTCCCCAGTGTGACCTCAACTGAGAGACAGTGGACAAGCACCACACTTTTCATTCTCTTTCACATTCATTCCCTTTCCTTCTGACCACCCCACTGCCTCCTAGTCACTCCATATAGTTCCCACAGATGTCTTTGCACTGACTCCTTCTTCCCGATCATACTGCAGTGAGGTACAAAAGAAAGGCAATGGATCCAAGCTGGGCCAATTGTTCCCTCGCCCTGGGACTTCTGGATTGGGACCAACTAAGTGTCCTTGCTCTTTAGGGAGCTGAAGCTGAAAGGCTCAAGATTCGTGAAGCTATGTCATCATCGCATGATGAAAGCCAGAGTACAAGAAGGAAAAAGATCCATCAAAGACAAGAGGGAATCAAGTCTCTTAACCAGTGATTTCTAAGGCCCTGACACATTACCATCCTTAGATTCAATGTAACATCCCAGTTCCCTTGTAATAAAATTCCTCTTTTTACTTAAACTAGTTCAGGTAGGAATTCTCTCACTTACACCTGAAAGAGCTGCCTTGAGGATCATCCTTGATATGCAAACATTCTCTAATACAAAGTATTTATTTCATCTGTCATTTGGGCTAGGTATTCACCATCAATTGCAAAAGAAAAGTCAATAAAATAGTCATTAAATAAATAGAGTTAAAATGGATGAATCAAAACCTATGTATCCAAGTATCATTAAATATGGATATACACTGTTGGTAGGAATGTAAAATGATGCAGCTGCTGTGGAAAATAGTATGGAGATTCCCAAAAAAAATTCAAATCAGAACTACCATATGATCCAACAATTCCACTTTCTGGGTATATGTCCAAAAAAACTAAAAGCAGAATCTCAAAGAGATATTGGCACACCCATGTTTACCAGTATTATTCACAATAGCCAAGAGGTGGTAGCAACTCAAGAGTCCCTAAATGGATAAACAAAACATGGTACATATACAATGGAAAATTATTCAGTTTTAAAAGGGAAGGAAGGAAATCTTGTCCCATGCTACAACACAAAAGGACCTTGAGGACATTATGGTAAATGAAATAAACCATCGCGAATGAACACCATATGATTCTTTTTTTTTTTTTGAGGCAGAGTCTTGCTCCATTGCCCAGGCTGAAGTACAGTGGCATGACCACAACTCACCACAGCCACCATCTCCTGGGATCAAGTAATCTTCCTGCCTCGGTCTTCCCAGTAGCTAGGACTACACATGTGGGCCACCATGCCTGGCTAGTTTTTTAAAAATATTTTTTGTAGAGACAGGATATGTGTGTGTTGCCCAGGCTGGTCTAGAACTCCTGGCCTCAAGTGATTTTCCTGCCTCAGCCTCCCAAAATGCTGGGATTACAGGTGAGAACTACCACACGTGGCCTCAGGTTGTAACCTTTATAATCAACCAGTAACCATAACCAGTGAAGTGTTTCCTTGAGGTTCTCCCCCATGAGATAAAGTCTTGCTCTTGTCGCCCAGGTTGAAGTGCAATGGCATGATCTCAGCTCACTGCAACCTCCACCTCCCAGGTTCAAGTGATTCTCCTGCCTTAGCGTCCCGAGTAACTGGGATTACAGGTGCCTGCCACCACACCGGGCTAATTTTTGTATTTTTAGCATATACGCAGTTTTGCCATGTTGGCCAGGCTGGTCTGGAACTCCTGAACTCGTGATCTGCCCGCCTTAGGCCCCCAAAGTGCTGGGATTACAGGCATGAGCCACCACGCCTGGCCTCCTTTAGTTCTATGAGCTGTTCTAGCAAATGATGAAACCTCAAGGAGGGGTCAATGGGAACCCCTGACTTACAGCCAGTCAGAAATACGGTAAGCTCAGACTTTCTACTGATGTCTAAATGGGACTCATTTCTAGGACTGTGCCTTTAACTTGTGGGACTGGATGCCAATACCAGACAGACAACAGAACTGAATTAAACTGTAGGACACCCAGTTGGTATCCTAGAGAATTGCTTGGTGTGGGGAAAAAAAAAAAAAAACAGACATCACTTATCATAGAAGTGATCTATGTGAGGGTGGATAAAACAGTGAGTACCTTTTTTTGGGGGGGTGGGTGATGGTGCTGGAGTGCAGTGATCTCAGCTCACTGCAACCTCCACCTCCTGGGTTCAAGCAATTCTCCTGCCTGAGCCTCCCAAGTAAGTAGCTAGGATTACAGATGCCTGGCACTATGCCTGGCTAATTTTTGTATTTTTAGTAGAGATGGGGTTTCACCATGCTGGCCAGACTGGTCTTGAACTCCTGACCTCAGGTGATCTGCTTACCTCGGCCTCCCAAAATGCTAGGATTACAGGTGTGAGCTATCATGACCAGACAACAGTGAATATGTTTCATCAGATATGTTTTTACCAATTTTTTTTAAAAATGTAAAAGCATAGATATAAATTTGAAGAATAATTAGATCAAGACCATAAATGACTAAGAATTTTAAAACAAAACAAAGAGTCCTTAAAACGGAGGACGGGTATGATTATTAAAAAGCAACATGAGGAATCTTTGTGGTGATGGATTTGTTCTTTGACTACAGCAATGGATACACATGTAAGCAATAAACTGTAAAGTAATAAAGACATATGGAGAAGAATACAAGTGTACAAGAAATACTTGCAAAATCTGGATGAGATTGGTGGATTACATCAATGTCAATATCCTGGTTGTGATATTATACTGTGGATATCCGAGATGTTCCCATTGGGTAAACTTGATAAAGGGTACATGTGCTCTCTATGTATTTATTACATCTTACAACTGTGATTCTTATAGTCTCAAAAGTTTAATTTTAAAAAATGAAAGAGGGAATAGAAAGATTTTTTTAAATCAGCTTAGCCTGCCAAATTCTTAACAATTGGCACATAGAATGCACTCAGGCAATTTGAAATTATTTTAAATAAGAGACATCTGATATATTTTACAGTGTATATTAAACTACCATGCATGCTTCTCAATAGCGTAAGAGATAGATGCTAGTGATTACAGAAAAATAGACAAATCTTGCATTTTAGAGACTTTACCAGCATTCAGGGAAACAGTATTTCAGACTATAACTCTCAAAAAAGGGCTTCAATTTATAATAAATACATTAAAATTTAAAAACCTCAACTTCTTCAGCAGATATCTGCATAATAAAAGATGTAGTTTTCCAAAGTGAACCTAAGAAAGTGAGAAAAGTGAGAATATAAGGGAGTGTAATGGGGGGTGTATGTTTCATCAAGGGACCTCTTTTCTCAATTTACTCTGAGACAGGGAAAGGCTCTGCAACAACCAGACTCTTCAATAGAAGAAGTCAACAATCTACCTTTTATCACAAGCCCACTTTAAAAAGTTTCTATAATACAATTAAAGGAAACAATTTCTTGACGATATTTAACACTATGAACAGGAGATTATCTGACAGTATTTAAAAAAACATTGTTTGACTACTGAATATGTAGCTATGACTGCACCAATAAACCTACCTAAAATAAGGCAAAGTAAAATTCCAGTTTGTTTTGTAAAACCCCAAGATATCAAAATAATCATAAAATTCAAACAGAATCTCAAATGGTCCTCCAGTGACCAGTCCAGGATTATTCCTTCATCAGACTGAACATGAACAGAGTACCCTAATGTCAGATTTACTTTTATGTTTCTCTCTTTCAAAAAATTATACTCTTTATGATGAAAAAAATGAACTCTCTCGAGAATATTTACAGTTATGTTAGGTTTTGTGTTATTACTATTATTGTGAATTACCTGATAGATCAGTATAACCTCATGAGTGAACAGGACCTCTAAAGATCTGGATCAACTCTAGATAAGCAAAACTGTCTAAGGTCCCAACACTACCGGCAAATACATAAAACCTACTGGATTAGTTCAGGTGAAGAGAACTGCAGGATCCTAAGGACTAGAGCAAAAGCAGATGCCCAAGTCCCTGGGAAGAACACCTAGTAAAAAGACAGGAGTGGACTACCACAGCCTTTTCTTAAACTGTCTATGCTAAAGTGAACACACAGAGGCTCACTGTTTTCTATCTCCCCCCATACCCCACCTCATCCAAGCTTCTAGCAATTGGGCAAAAATGAAGGGAGGAAGCGAGAGAGAGACTTTGCTAGTGCTGAAAAATATATAAAACAAACATTTTAAAAATGTAATACACAAAACAACGAAACTTGGAAGCATCACATGCCTATAATCACCATAACTCTCTCGAAGGGAATATCCCTTCTTCCAGAACATATCTCAGAAATTCCTTTTGTAACTTTCCCCCTCAAGACTGACAATAATCCTCACTTTAATTTTGACTGGATTGTTGCAGTGTGTTACTTTTTGGTGGGGTAAAAGGCAGGAGAGTTATGATCTGTTCCAGCCTCCAAACAATACTAGAAATAGCTCTGCTTCCAATCTGTAACTCTCATCAGCTCTGGTTACCAAGTCACTAA